AACCTCATCACTCCTCCACAGAGCAGTTGATGGATTTGAACTGCTAACCTTTACATTCTCAACCCAACATGTAATGCACTACGCCACCAGGGCTCAAATTAGGTAATGTCTGTATAATAGGAGGAGCTCTGGTGGCGTAGGCCACAGGGAGTTGTGCTACTAAGTCCACTCCTCTCTGGCGGTTCCAATTTACCAGCAGTTCTACAGGAGAAACATACGCAGTCTCCTCCTGTGTGATTTACAGCCCCTCAAAACCTGCTCGGGGTCAGCTGTGAATCTATCCTGACTCGGTGGCAAAGAGTGAGGGAGGGACTCATATCGGGGTGGATAAGGGGAAGGTGGTGTACAACCAGGAGCTGATCAGCACCACAGAACTAAAGAAAAGAAAGACACAGAGGCCCCCAAGAGTCACAAAGAGCAGGGTCACTGTGGTGTCCCCAAATGGGCAGATGCAGAGAACAGCAGGATAAGCTGCAGAAGTTATTTATCTGGAAACCTGTAATGGAAACGCTTCATGAGGTAGATGGCGCTCTTCCACCCGGTGTGTGCATTTGAAGACCGAACAAAATGTTAATCAGCTGGACAAGCTGATGGTGCCAGTTTAGATATGGTGTGGGTGATTTGCTCTGCGGTTACAGGCTTACACTGTTTCCATAGAGACACATAGTTAAAGTTCTCTGCTGTTGACTTAGAGATGTGAAGTCCGAAGGTACCCAGTAACGTCTTGAGAGAAAGACCTAGTGATTACATCTGAGTAAACAACCAGCCCTGGACTACACTGTGGGGCAAAATTCCACTTAGAAACACGGGGTTCACGTGAGGTGGTGCCATGTCAGTACGCACTGTGTTTCTTTGGTCAGTCCTTGAGCAGTTCAGAGATTTCCGGTTGAATGCAAGGCTTCAGAGAAGGGCATGTGAATTGCTAGAGTAGGGATGTTCTCTGTGCATCACTGGTCTCCTTCCTTCCCCAGTGCGCTGGTAAGAGGCTGATTGAAGACATGGTTTTCCCTAGAGAATCATTCCATTTAGAAGGACTTTTCTATGTTAAAGAACTTGACAAGCCTGATGATGCCATTGGAGCTGGGACAGGCCCTGGTCCAGGTGCCACTACTGACAAAGGCAGAGAATCCCCAACTCCCTGGACCAAATTCTGCCCCTCACGGGGAACTTTCCAGCCCTGAAGCTGCCCAGCAGCTTTTCAGATGCTTTTGGTGCCAGGTGCTGTCTGGGTCCCACGAGACCTTGAGGCAACTTCAGAAGCTCTGTTTCTAGTGGTTGCAGCCAGAGGGTCACAGCGAATAGATCCTGGAGCTCCGCCTGTTGGAGCAGTTCCTGGCCGTCCTGCCCTGGGAGATCCAGATGTGGGTGAGTACACAGTGTCCCAGCGGCGGAGCCTGGCCGTCCTGCCCGGGGAGATCCAGATGTGGGTGGGCTCACAGCGTCCCAGCGGTGGAGAGGAGGCTGTGACTCTCGTGCAGAGCTTGAAAGGAGATGCCTGGAGACTGGTGGTGGTGCATCAGCGGTCAGGTTCTGGGGCCGGAAAGCTCTCCTGAGGAGGTGGAATCTGCAGGCTGCTAAGTCAGGGAGGCAGAGACCAGTCTCGAAGTGATGCCTCAGGAGCTGGGACATCAGAATTCAGCCTCAGGACCTGGAGCCCAGCTGAGACACATCATCAAAGAAGAACCTGACACAGTGCAGGAATTCGTGACGAGTGCCCCCCCCACACACACACACACACCGCTTCTTTCCAGACCCGAGGAAAGGCGCATCAACAACCAGGACTCTGAAGGCTTCCTTCCATCTTCAAGCATCATCTCGGGAGCAGTGCAGGCACTTGGATCCTACTGAGAAGGAGCACTACTGGCGCCCCCTGCTGGCTAACTATGGGGGAAAGGTCTCAGGAGGCACTCCCAGTCCCAAAGTGGGCCCAGCTAATTCGGAAGAGTGTGGAGGAGAAGTGGCAGGACTCCCCTTTCATGCCAGCCGGAAGATTCCATCACCCGCCTACAGCATAGACAGGACACAGCCAAAGAGAATCTAAATTTGGCAACCTGTTGGGAACAGGAGCCTTCAGATGGCCCTTGTCACATCCCAGGAGAGGCCCCTCCTCAGTGTTCTTTGAGTGTCCTCTTTGGTGAGAACAAACGAGGGTGGTTTGGAAAAGGAGATTCTCTCCATAAAGTACAGGGATACCTCCAAGGTGGGGAGAGAGACAAGTAGCTCCTCCTCAGGAAAGGGTTTCTGGGCAACAGCAGTTAAGCCAGCAGTTGCCTCATTTTCACCTAAGAAATCTTTCTGGGCTGTGGCTCACAGAGAAGCAATAGGCCTCCTGGAAGGAAAAACTGAGGTCTCCCATGATCCAGAAGTTCCTCATGTACAGAAGTTTTCCAAACCATCCTTGCTCGTTCTCATCAAAGAAGACATTCAAAGAACCCCGAGGAGGGGCTTCCTCTGGGATGTGACAAGGGGCATCTGAAGGCTCCTGTTCCCAACAGCTTGCCAAGTTTAGATTCTCTTTGGCATTTGCCTTTCTCTGCTACAGGTGGTTGATGGGATCTTCTCGTTGGCATGAAGGGGGAGTCCTGCCACTTCTCCCCCATACTCTATCAAATTAGCTGGGTCCAGAAATTGGGGGGAAACCTATAGAAATTCTCAGCTTTTGTTCCATCAGAGAACTCATACTGGAAAGACGTAGTTTCAGTGCCCCACCTGCAAGAAAACCTTTCTGCAGCATTCATTCTTGGTGAAACATCAGAGAATCCACACAGAGGAGAAGCCTTGCAAACGTGACCACTGTGAGAAAGGCTTCGGGGACTTTTCAAGATTACACAACCATGAGAAAATCCATACAAGCAAGAAACCCTATAAATGTCCCATCTGTGAAAAGAGTTTCATTCACAAGTACTGCATTAGTAGACACCAGCCATTTCCACACACTAGAGAAACCCTAAAAATGTTTTCTCTGTGAGAGGAGTTTCATTCTTAGGTCCAACTTTAATAGACACTAGTGGAGCCACACAGGAGAGAAACCCTATAAATGTACTCTCTGTGAAAAAAGTTTCCATCAGAGGTTCACCTTAAAGATACACCAGCAGGTCCACACAGGAGAGAAACCCTTTAAATGTTCTCTTTGTGGAGTGTTTCATTGAGAGGTCCACCTTTAAAAAACACCAGCTCGTCCACACAGTAGAGAAACCCCACAAATGTCTTCTCTGTGGAAAAAGTTTTAGTCAGAGGTCCCATTTTTAATAGACACCAGGGAGAAAATAGACACAGAGGAGAAAAACCCTAGAAATATCCTCTCAGAAAAATTTCATTGGCAACTCAAGCATTTTTAGAGACCACTGGGTCCACACAGAAGAGAAATCCTAGAAAAGTCTCATCTGTAAAAATAATTTAGAAATCTAATTTTATTAGACATCAGAAGGTCTACATTAGAGAAATCCTCAAAATGTTCTTGCTGTGGGACAAGTTTCAGAAGTAGATTAAGTTTTGATTGGAACCAGTGGTACGATTTGGGGAAGATATCCTCTCTGTAGCCAGACTCTTTTAGCCCTAATGTGTGTCTCTACAGTGACAGATACTGACTTTTTGCAATCACCGGCAGAATTACATCTTTTTTGTTCTTGTCTGTTTTCACGGTTTAAAGATGGAGAACCTACAATTATTTTTTAACTTGTAAGTTAGATTGGGCTCTTAGAGTGAACTTCACAGTTACTTAATGTCTTCTACCGGAGTAGCTGTAACTACTGCTCACATGGATGACATTAGGTAAGCCCTTTAATACTAAGAGTCCAGAAAATGTCTTCTGATGTAAATTGCAAGCAGATATAGCTCTTTGATATGTGAGTACAATGTGAACTTGATGTGCCATTTCTTCAAATAAACTCAGTAGATTCCTTGTCAGAAAACAAAAAGTTACAAAGATCAAAGGTAAGTGCTATTGCACACACAATCCTATATAATCAGTAATAACAAATATTAATTGACAAGTGCATACATGGGCAGACAGGCAAGATGAACAGACAAGGGCAGACAACATTTCTACATGCATACTTGCATGTACTGTAAATAGACGCATGTATATAGTAGAGTAAACAGGGAAGAAAGTTACATAAATGTCTTAGCTATCACCAGGCATTCTGAAGGACTTCACATAGTCTCAGTGAACATTAAGATCAATTGGTATAACATGGTCCACAAAGACAATGTTCTCCAGAATATTTTTTTCCCAAATAATCAGAGGGAATATATTTGCTGGTTTCCAGAATACAAATAAGACCCCTTTAATTTCATCCCCATATCCCTCCCCCTAAAATCACTCTCCACACCCCAAGCCCATAAGGTACAAGGGCAGGCAATTGATTTCACAAATCTGGAGACAAACTGTGTCCACTTGGCAAGGCCACTTGTCAAGGCCCTTCTGAGGGCTCTGCCCTGGTGTCGCCCTGCTCAGGCCTTGAGGGGACGCATCCGTCGTTGAGTTTTTTTAGTTCCATCGGGGAGCCTGCCGCTGCCTGCTAGGCAGTGGGGAGGCCACGGGCCTTCCTGGCCCTCCTACAGGTCCCCTACTCAGGCGTCCAGGACCAGTCCTTCCACCACCAGCGTCACTTGCATCTCACATGGTTAGTAGAGGAGGGCACAGCCCCGTAGACAGCACCCTCCACGTCAGTCACGCCAGACAGACAGCAGAGAGGAAACCAGAGGGCCAGAGAAGTCATTTTAGAAAGAGAAAACAAGAGCAGCTTCAGTCACCAAAAAATAGAAAGGATGATCTATTTTAAAAAAGAAAAAATGAGGTGGGGGGTGTGTTTGCTGTTGTTGTGGTTTGTGGTTTTTTCCTGCAATGCTCAGCTATTTCACTTGAAGATATTTTTAAAAATTTAAAAAAAAAAAAAAGAGCAAAGTTTGAGAGTAGTTGCTTTCTCGGTCTAAACATTCATGAGTGGACGGTGGTGGTGTGGTGCGGCCTGTCTGTGTTGCAAGGGTGCCGGGGTCCTTCAGACCACGTACTGGTATGGGTCTGCCTTTCCTTGGTCTGGCGTGGCAAAGGGGCTGGCCCAGCCCAGGGAGAAGGGGTGGCCAAAAACGGCTTTCATGTTCATCCATTTGGGTTTTTTAGACCATCTTCTCTCTTCCTTTTTCAATTGCTCTTTTCCCGTCTCGTCTGTGCAGATGGAGTGCACCTGGGTTCCGAACATGACTGATGTGAAGATGAGGAAGAGCAGCCCCTCGAAGCACAGCAAGGTGAGGAGGATCACCGTGCTGGGGGGAGAGAAGGAGCTGCACTTTGTCCAGTCTTCTTCAAAGCAATGCAGGAAGTGGAATCCCACCATGATGAGAGCGTGCAAAGAGATGAGAGCTATGTACATTGTAAACAGGACGAAGTACTTCTGGTTGTTCTCGCCCACACAGTTGTTGACCCAGGGACAGTGGTGGTCCATCTTCCGAATGCAGCGCGTACCAACACTGCAGTGGTGGGCCCGGTCAGGCTTGATGCTGCAGCACTTGGGACATTTATACACCACCTGCCCGGGTTTCAGCTGTAAACTCTCGATGAACTCTTTAATGGCATTTCCTTTGGGTACGGCTCCGGGGTCCATCAGCATGGCCCGGCAGTGGGAAGCCAGGGCCAGGAACGCCAGGAGGTTGAAGACGATCCCGTTGATGACGACGCTGTAGAGGTAATCTCTGGACGGGATCAGCATGACAAAGAGGACCACGAATTCTGCTGCGTAGAGAGCCAGAAACCAGGTGACGATGGCACAGGCGATGCCGCAGCCATCCCGGATAAACCACATGGCTCCCGAAGGACCAGGGGAGGCAGGTGGGACACACTTCTCCAGCTGCAGGTATTCTGGTTTCCGCTCCATGTCTCTAAAGTGGTGAATCGGGATAAGCATCATAAGCTATTCTGTCCATACTGACATCATGAAGCCGGAGGCAGTTCCGCAGTCCCAAGCCTCCGGGGGGACTCTCGCTGCCGCCTCGTCTCCGTCGCCCCCTCCTGCAGTCTTCGTCCTGGGTGGGAGCCGGCCTCCGGCAGCGGCGATCGCTCTCCGGGGATCGAGCAGCACCGTGGCGGTGGCAGTGGCGGCTCTCCAGAATATGTTAGTGAGTAGTGACTGGGTCAGGAAGGAATAGAAAAAACACCAAGCAAAACTGGAGATTGTAATCGGTGTCATTAAGCAAAATGAGTACGAATGGTTGCATGGAAAATCTGCTCTATAAATTTTCACTCAAAGCAAATTTTTTTAAAAAAAATATTTTTAAATTTCTTTTTATTTTCTATTCGTTTCCATACAAAATTCGTATACATTGTGTTTCATTCACACAGTGTGTCCCACACATTCCTTCATTTGACACATTCCCATACATTTGTGTCTTATAAAATAATCACTGTTGACCTAAGCCCACTCTGCCCATTATCCCGTTTTCTCAGATCCCCACTGGATCTTTCCTAATTCCTTTACCTTCTCCCTCTACCCATCAAACTCTGTGACCTTGTGATTTCCCTCCTTCTCCCTCTCCCCAGGTCCCTACCTCCTCCCTTCCCTCTTTGGACATTTATAAACATCTTACTAGTTATCCTCCTATGTTTACTATTATGGGGTCTTATTCAGTGTTTGTCTTTATGAGACTGAGTTCACTCTTAATAATGCTTGGAAAAAATGTCTCCAGTTGTTAAAAAAATAGCCAGTAGTCTTACTGATTTGCAGTATTATAAGTTAAGCACTTGCTGCTAACTGAAAGGATGGTAGTTCAAATCTACCCACTGGCTCCACAGAGAAAAGCCTTTTCGATCCACTCCCATAAATATTCAGACAAGAAATGTCCTCCACAGCGTCCAACAACAAAAGCAACACCATTTTTATTCTCTACTGCTCCACTGTCAAGAGCCCTAAAATGTAGCAGCTTGAAGCAATAACTATTTACTATTTCAGAGTTCCTGTGATTCAAAAGTCCAGGCTCCATTTAACAGGTTTCCTCTGCCTCAAGGTCTTTCACAAGGCAGAAACTCACAAGTCAACCGTCAGCAGTCTGACCTGAAGGCTCCACTGGCGAGGCACCTGCTTTGGAACCCATTCATGGCATTGTTGGCGAAACTCAATTGTTAGTGGGCTTGGATTGAGGTCCTCTGTTCCTCACTGGCTGCCTCTAGCTTCTTGCCGTATGGGCTGCTCATAGCACAGCAGCTGACTTTAACAAAGTAATCAGGTGAGAGAGGAAGGGAACAAAGACATTGTAAGTATTCTCAAGGATGACGTCCTATCACTTTGACCACATTCTATTCATTAGAAACAAGTTACCAGGTCCAGTCAACATTCCAGGGGAAGATTACACAAAGATGTGAAGACTGAGAGGCATCTTAATGACAATTCAGCACATAATTCAAATCTCACAGTAATACCAAAGTGATCCTATTTCTTCAGTTACTTGAGCTTAAGAAATACTGAGCAAGTTCAGCCCCTTTGATTTTTTGACTCCAGCTCTTTGCACATTTCATTATAATACTTTGTCTTCCTGTGTTGCCCTTTGAAATCTTCTGCTCAGCTCCTCAGCGCTCTAATGCAATATCTAGAGTGAATTGCAGCCTTCAATAAGGATTGAAGCTCAATATTAAGAAAACAAAGATTCTCACCACTGGGCCAATTGCCAGCATCATGATAGATGGGGAAGAGATTGAGATTGTTAACAGCTTCAGTTTGCTTGGCTCCACAATCAACTCGGCACTAGCAGCCAGGAAATTAAGAGACATATTGCATTGGGAGAGTCTGCTGTCAGAGACCTCTTCCAAAGTACTGAAGAGCAATGATATCAGTCTGGAGACTAATGTGCACCTAATACTGCCATGGTCTTTGCAATTACTCGCTATGCATCAGAGAGCTAGACAATGACTAGGGGTGATAGAAGGAGAATTGTTACCTTTGAGCTGTGGTGTTGGAGAAGAGTATTGAATATACCATAGACTGCTAAGAGAACAAACAGGTTCATCCTGGAGAGGGTAAAGCCAGGCTGGGCCTTGGAGGCAAGGACTCTGAAGATTTGTCTGACATATTTTGAACGTGTTGCAACGAGGGACCAGTCCTTGGAGAGGGACATCATGCTTGGGAGGGTTGAGGGACATCGCAGAAGAGGAAGACCCTCTATGAGGTGGATTGATTCAGTGACTCGAGTAATAGGGGTAGATGTATCAGAGACAGTGAGAATGGCACAGGATAGAGCAGGGTTTAGGACTGTTGCACATAGGGTCTCTATGAGTCACAGGTGACTCAATGGCACATAAAAAATAACAGTCCTATTTCACCTAGCTAAACTCTCTCCTCCTTCATATTTGACTTGGACAACTTGTACACCTTCTTTACTTCATCTCACTTCTAAGTCATATTCTGGTTTTATTTGTTATGAGAATGATTTGTTGCGTAGTATATTCAGTATTCTTCACCAGAAGCTGAATTATTGCCAGGATGGTAGAGAGAAACCCACATCATAGCAATCAATAGAGCTGGCCACCATCATGGAGCCAGGCATCACTCTGACTCCTCCAGGGAAGAGATTTGGTTGTTATATAATACATAGCCTGTGGTTACAGTTGTTTTATTTTCATTAGGTGCCCTTTGAGTCAAGTATGACTCATTGTGACCCTAAGTATAATAGATCTGAACCTTGTCCTATCCTGTGCAAACCTCATCAACTCTGACACACTTGAGCCCATTACCACAGTTACTGTGTCAATCCATTTTATTGAGGAACTTCCTCATTTTCATCCACTTTTGCAAGTATGATATCCTTTTCCCACAAAAAACCTCTCCTAGCAACATGCCCAAAGTATGTGAGATGAAACTTTGACAACTTAGCCTCCAAAAACACTCTGGCTGCACATTTTCCAAGTTATGTTAGTTTGTTCTTTTAGGAATCCATGAGATATTCAATGCTATTCTCCAACACTGTAACTTCAGAGACCTCAATTCTTCTGTCATCCTTATTCATTGTCTATATGTCATCCTTATTCATTGTCCATGTCTAGATTCATAGCAAATAATTGAAAAGGCCATGGCCTGAATCAGGAACATCTTACTCTTCAAACTGATACCATAGCTCCTCTGTAATTTGGAGAGGTCCCTGACAGAAGACTTGCCCAATGCATTAAATCTCATCTGCTTGTACCAAGATTGTTGACTATGAATCCAAGTAAGATAATATAATTTACAATTTCATTCTTTTTCTCTATTCATCATGATGGTGGCTATCAGTCTAATGGTGAGCGCTGTCTTCTTGATGTTGAGATGCAATTAATTCTGAAGGGTTGTAGTCCTTGACCTCCTGCAGCAAGTATTTCCATTCTCCTCACTTTCAGGGAGCAAGATTGTCTCATCTGCAAAATGCAAGTTATTGATGAGTCTTCCTCCAATCCAGATGCCACATTCTTCTCCACAGAGTCCAGCTTTTTGGATGATTTGCTCAATGTACAGATTGAATGGGTATGTAAAAAAAAAGTCAGCCCTGACACACAATTTTCTTGAGTCTAAACCATGCTCTGTTTAGAAAGGTCTAGGTCTAGTTTTTATATAAACATAACTGAATATTCTGAGATTCCCATTAATAGCTATAGTTTGTTATAATCCACACAGCCAAATGCCTTTGCATAGTCAACAAAACACAAATAGACATTCTTTTAGTGTTCTCTGCTTTCAACCAGTATCCATCTAACAGTAATGATATCCCTAGTGTCACTTCCAAACCCAGCTTACACTTGTCTGTTCTCTCTCAATGTACTGTTTTAACCATTTTTCAGATGATCTTCAACAGTATTTTGCTTGCACATTATATTAATGATACATTGTTCAATAGTTTCCACATTCTGTTGATCATTTTGGGGGGAATGGATCACTTTCAGTTAGTTAGCCAAGCAGCTGTCCTCCAAGTTTCTGGAATAGACTGGTGAGTACATCAATACAATTGGTAGTCCATCGATTCTTGGGGCCTTATTTTTTGCCAGTGCCTTCAGTGAAACTTCAACTTCTTCCTTTATTACCTTTGTTTCCTGTTCATATTGCACTTCCTAAAATTTTCAGTGTGAATCAATCCTTTTTGGTCCAGTGATTCTGTGTATTCCTTCCATTTTGTTTTGATACTTCCTAGCTTATTCACTATTTTGGCCATAGCATCTCTCAGTATTGCAACTTGAGGTCTGAATGTTTTTCAGTGTTTTCAACTTGATAAATGCCAAAATAGTCCTTCCCTTTTATTCTCCAACTCCAGCCCTTTGCACATTCCATTATAATACTTTGCTTTGTCTTCTCAAGATCTCCTTTGAAATCCTCTGTTCATCTCTTTGACTTCAGCATTTCTTCCTTTTGTCCTGGCTTCTTGTTGCTTTAGTGCAATTTTCAGAGTCTCTTTGAAAAGATTGAAATTAAAATAGTCCCTATAGTTCTCAGCTGAATTAAACTCAAGTTTCTATAATTCTCAGCTAAGTTAAACTCAGGAATTTTTAAAGCCCCACACCCAGGTATCCAGGGTAACAGTATTTCAAGAATAGCTAGCAGAAGGGCAGAGCAAACAAGCAAAGATTGTTTCTCAACTGATAACCCATGTGCCTTTGTTTCCCGACTGATAACCAATGTATCTGGTGCTTTTCCACTGCCCTAGAGTTTGAACTCATAGTATACTTAAGAATTTGTGACACCACCATATAGTTAAAGATCTCTCTAACTGCTACATGTGCTACGTGACTGCCGCAAGTGCTACGTGCAAAAATGCTGTGTAAACCCTGAGCGAACACTGAACCAATGAATTCAAACTGTGCTTTCATCACCCAATGAGAAGCTGATACTCAGTTGTACCCCCCTAAAGTGTATTAAAAAACCCAACTTTGTCTGCTCGCGGTCGGCTCCTCTGTCTCCTGCGAGAGATAAGAGTCAGCCCGGAGCTCCGCAATAAACCTCTTATCTCTTGCTGTTGCATCAAGCCGGTGTCTTGGAGTCTTGGGTCTTCGCTGTCCACTCGGGACAGAACAGGACCAGCGGTTCAGGGGTCCTTCATCTTCTGACATCCATTTTTGGCCTTTCCTACTCTTAGGTCTTGTAACCACCTTTTGCTTCCTTCATGGATTATGTTTTTGCTGTCATCCAGTAACTCACTTCAACCTCTTCTGGAGATGATTTTTTCATTCAATTTGGATAGACACAAGGTCATATTTTGGTTCCGGTAATCTTGTTTTCATTTTCTTCGGCTTCAATTTGGCCTTGCATACACGTAATTGATGGTCTGTTCCACACTCAGCACTTAACTGGTTTTAACTGCTGATATTGAGCTTCTCTAGTGATTCTTTCCACAGATGGAGTCAGTCTGATTTCTACTTGTTCCATCAGGTGACATCCATGTGTAAAGACTCCTGTGTTTCTAAAAAGGATGTGTTTGGGTTTTGTTTTGGTTTTGTGTGTGGGTTTTTTAAAATATATACATCCCAGATATCCTATGGTTTATAGGGGTAAATTAACTTAATTTATCTGTAATTTTACTTATTCCAGTTAGCATTTTTATACACCAAAATTTTACAATTTTGAACTCATTCAACTTTCACCTTGTTGACCCTGACTGAACCAGAAACAATTGTTCAAAGTCCTGAAATGAATTAGTGAAGTGACTTGAGGCTCTTGTGAATCAAAGGAACAAGGTAAGGTTCAGTTCCACATAATAAGAATTCTGACCATGGCTTTTGCCTTTTAAGCCTATGGTATACTTTTAGGAAAAAGAAAATTCTATTAGCATTATTTTTCTCTGTTTACCCATAAAGAAAAAGAGACACTGAAAGATGCTTTACAATTTTTCTTTTCAGAAACAAATCCTTCCTTTGAAATGCCCTCTTACTTATCTGAATACCCAGAATCTTTGAGAACTGGAAGGATGCCTGCAATTCAAATGTCACCTCCCATCAGATTCCCTTTGAATCTCCTCACTGTCCCTCCTCTTAAATGTCCCCATGTCCTATCACTTTTTTTCCTTGATGTAATAAAGGACTAAGTCCTTCCATCTCACTAAACTTAACTCCATTCATGCCAAGAACTATTTCTTTCGCCTCCATTTAGCCCTCTACACTCTCTCCACCACATCTGGATACACAATACAGAGCAGAGTTCAATAACATTTGTTGAAAGGATTGAAAACCAAATAATCAGTGGCTAGAAGAAACCTTACGTTTGGTAAATCCAGTGGAGATTCAATAGAAAGTGAGAATTATGAAACAATAGCTTTAATATGACACAAAAGTAAAACTTTCTGAAGACAATTTAAAAACAATTGCAAGAGTACATCAACAGACAACTACTAGAAATTCAAAGCAGTTTTAGAACAGAATATGGAACTAGGGACGTCACTGTTGATATCAGGTGATTTTAACTGAAAGTAGAAAATACCCTTGAAGATATCTACTTGTGTATTATGGACTGTGTAAATAATGCATTTGACCATGTAGATCATAACAAATTATAGATAACATTGCAAAGCATGAGAATGTCAGGACACTTAGTTATGTCCAGTGCATTCACTAAGAGGAAGTTGTTTGAATAAAGCAAAGGGATAGTGAATGATTTACACCCAGGAGAGTTTGAGGGGAATGTTGTGTCCTTTCGCTACTGTAATTCAGTCTCTGTGTTGAGTAATCTATAAGCTCGAGTATATAAAGAAAAATGCAGCATCAGGATTGGAGGAAGACTTAAGGACCTGTAAGATGTAGGTGACTCAATATTGTTTTCTGAAAGAGAAGGGATGTGAAGAATATCAAGGAAAATTTAAAAAAAAACCACCCCCTATCTGCTTCTTCAGTAAACCACATTGTCTACAGTAGCTCATGTTAATTTTACATGGATTTAAGTTAAAAGTCATAAAGTGTTTTCACTTAATGCATCTTTGCATCATCATAAATACAGTCGAATTTTCCCTTAACTTGGAAGGTATACATTTAGACTCACACACACTGAGTGTTGTGAAGATGGCACGTGACAACAACCTCACATGCTTCTAGGGAGCTGGGAAGGGTAGTCAGAGGGGGCTTTGCTAACCTAAAGGTGGTAACTTTATGACAGTTCCGATCCAGTCTCCTCCAGTAACAATTTTATGCAACAATGTATGATCAAGAGGCAAAGGGGAGGAAGGAGAATGTTAAGGCTGCTCTGAAGGAATTGGAAAAAAAAAATCAAGGACCCAGGAATTGATGGAATACCAATTTATATATTTCAGCAAAGAGACACTGTCCTGATGCAATTCACCAGTTTATGCTAAGAAATCTGGAGGACAACAACCTGGCAAAGTGACTGGAAGAAATCTGTATTTATTCTCATTCAAAAAAAAAAAGTGATACAACAGAGTGTAGAAGTTATCAAACAATATCCCTAATATCACACACAAGCAAGATCCTGCTGAAGATTATCCAGAAACGACCGTAAGGGTACAGCAGCAGGTGACCTTTTCAGTTACATGTAAGATGACCATAAATTGGCGCCACTCAATGACAACTAATAACAGAATTTAGACCCTCCAGGTATTTTAATTTCCATTTTATAAATGAAGATTCTATGTTTGAGAAACAAACAATCACTTTTCAAAATCACTTCATCAGAAAGATGTAAAAAATATATATATATAAAACCAAGGACCTCTTGGCCATTCCTCTTCACATCTTTCAGTCATTAGACCCACTTGTCTCCCTTTCGGCAAATGGTTCAGGTAAATATTAAGACAGAGTACTCATCGTGTTTGTGGAATCAAGAACCTCATCATTGCTCTCTTAAGAGCATCCTTAAGCTCTCTGTTCCTCATGCTGTAGATCAAGGGGTTCAACACAGGTGTGATGAAAGTATAAACCACAGATACCACCTGGCCCCTCTCAGGAGAGTAGCTGGAGCTGGGACACAAGTAGATGAGACTTCCACATCCATACTGGAGGAGGACCACAGTGAGGTGGGAGGAGCAGGTGGAGAAAGCCTTGTGCCTCCCCTCTGCAGAGCTGATCTTCAGGATGGCAGCCACGATGAAGACATAGGAAAGACTGATGAGCAGGAATGGAATGGTGAGGACGGTGACACTGAACACAAACAGAGTGGCCTCTGGAACCCTGGTATCAGCACAGGCTACCCTCATGACCGAGAGGGTATCGCAGTAGAAGAGGCTGATTTCTCTACTCCTGCAGAAGGGGAGTTGGAAGATGAGCACAGTCAACTGCACGGCCAAGGTAAAGCCCAGCACGAGAGACCCCAGGGATAGTTGAATGCACAACCGCCAGCTCATGATGAGAGTGTACCGCAGTGGGTGACAGATGGCCACAAACCGGTCATAGGCCATGATGGCCAGCAGAACGCAATCAGAACTTCCCAGGAAGATAAAGAAAAACATCTGGACACCACACCCAGGAAGGGAGATTACAGTCCTCTCAGGGGACAGAACACTGGCCAAGGTCAGAGGAGCGATGGTTGAGGAGTAGAAGATCTCTAGGACTGCCAAGTTGGCCAAGAAGAAGTACATGGGGGTGTGGAGTGGATGGTGGATCCATATGGTGACAGCAATGGAGAAGTTACCGGTGATGCTGAACAGGTACATGATCAGGAAGGCCAGAAAAATGAGCATTTGCACCGCAGGGAGTTTGGAGAAGGGATGAAAGGAGAAGTAAATCATCCCAGTTTGATTGACATCCTCCATGTGCTCAAAGCACCTGGCCTGTTGATGACACAGATAATTTCCCTGAGAATAGATAAGTGTTAGGACACTGGATGTTATCACTGGATGACCCATGTAACCTTGACCCTTACCATCAGAGTCTCTTTAATTACAGTTAGTCTACTTCTAGTCTTAAATTAAACTATTTCTTTCCAACAACACTTTTGGTTGTAACCATCCAGAAATAGTCTGTCACCAAAAATGTAAGCAATAATATCCCATCCCCATACCACAAACCCCTTCTCCCCAGTACATTTATTCTTGGGGTTATCAAAATCACAGTGTATGGAATTGGACCATATATTTTCCAACTCCTAATGTGCCAGTTAACACCTGTATGACCTTGGAAAACCTGCTAAAACTTTCTAATTTGAACATGTTTACAAAATGTATGACAATAGGAAATAATTCTTGAGGTTATTTTGAGAAGTATGTCTGGCCTTACTATTGTTTGCTGCTGTTAAGTACCCTGGAGTCAGAACTCATGTTGCTGCTGCTGTTGTTGTTACTTGTCTGCAACTCACAAGGACCCTATTTATAGCAGCTCTGAAGCCTGCCCTGTCCTGAGTCAGTCTCACTGACTCTGACACACCTACCCACATTGCCCCAGTAACTGTATCAATCGATCTCATTCAAGGTCTTCCTCTCCTGTGTTGTCCCTCCACCCTTCCAAGCATGATGTGGCATTTGAGTTGCAGGCATTACTCAAATTCTCAAAGATTCTGGGCATTCAGAGACGAGTAAGAGGGCATTTCAAAGAAGAACTTGCTTTCCTTTTCAGAAGAACTGGAAATCAGCTTTCAGTGTCTCTATTTATCAGTAAATAGAAAAATAATGCTAATAAAATTTTCTTTTTCCTAAAAGTATACCACAGATTTAAAAGGCAAAGTCATGGTCAGAATTCTTATTATATGGAACTGAACTTTACCTTGTTCTTTGAATCACAAGAGCCCCAAGGCACTTTGCTAAATCATTTTTGACAATTGTTTCTTGTTCAGTCAGGGTCAACAAGGTGAAACTTGAATGAGTCCAAAATTGTAAAATTTTTGTGTATAAAAATGCTAACTTAACTGGGTAAAATTATGGGTAAATTTCATTAATTTTCCTCCTAGAAACCATAGGATGTCTGGGATATATCTTTTTTTAAAAAAAAATATTGTCCAGCTTTCTGATGCATAGCAAATGATTACAAAGACCATGGCCTGGATCAGATGCACTTAAGTCTCTAGACTGACGTCAGTACTTGTCAGAACTCTGGAGGGGTCCCTGACAGCAGATTTTCCCAGAGTAATGCACGTTTTGCTTTCTTGACTGCTCATGCCAAAAGTGGAACCAAGCAAGCTGAAGTTGGTAACAATCTCAGTCTCTTCTCCATCTATCATGATGCTGCCAACTGGCCCAATGATGAGAATCTTTGTTCTCTCGATGTTGAGCTTCAATCCATATTGAAGACTACAGTCGACCTTCTGCAACAAGTGCTTCAAAACCTTCTCAGTTTCAGCAAACATAGCAACCCTATAGCCCGTGGATCTGACCCCTCCCCTGTCCTGTGCTTTCCTCACGTTCTCTGACGTACTTGAGCCACCACTGGAGTCACCGCGTCAGTCCATCTGTTGATGACCTTCCCCTCCTTCCTCGACCCTACACCTGTCCAAGCATGATGTTCTTTTCCATAAAGCCCTCCATTACATTGACAATAACTCAGAGGGCCGCCGTGAATCTGAGTCAACTCAACAGCACCTAACAACAACAAGAAGCTCTTTTTCCTCCTGTTCAAGACCAATGTGGTGCCTGCAAAAGAGCATTGTATTATATAAATATTATAATATATAAATATTATATAAAACCATTATTGTAGAATGAGTATAAGGATCCAAGGGGCGTGGGGTGGAAGCAGAGGGATGAGGATGTGCAGGGGGCGGGGAATTACTCATGAGTTGTACAAAACAGGACTCATTTACGCCACCGCCAGCCGGGGGAACGCACGCGGCCGCCCGCCAGGCCAGGGGAACGCCGCCGCCAGCCCGTGGGAACGCACGCCGCCCACCAGACCGGGGACGCCGCCGACAGACCGGGGAAC